TAACCCGGGAGGAGAAGGGAGGGGGCGAGGTCGGGCAGGGAGAGGGTCTCCTGGAGGGACGCCTGCAGCGCCCTGGGCGCTCCGGGTCCTGCGTTCGGGGCGAGTCTGCGTTTGTTTTCTGTATTGCTTTCGTGTTGGGCTCCATTGCTCCATTGTCCTGTGCAGGCTTTTAAATGTCTGGCAAAATATCGCAAGTCATGAATTTACACGAGTCCAAGATTTATTTATAGGGAAACGATTTTTGTTGTTGTTAGTTCGTAGTGTTGGGATTTTTATTCTTTCAAGGTGATCTGACAAGTTTAAACCAAATGAATAATTTTCCTTATTAATATCTACTTACCTCTGCTCAGTGGGGGCGCTTTCTTAGCCTTTCAGAGATTCCCATTCCTTTGGTCTGGGGTGTGGCTCAGGAATCAAGCTCTTAGGTTCGTCCCTTTCCCCATGTTGATAACATTGAGGACCACACACTTACGTTTTCTAAGAAGCACCATAGGGTATCTGGCACAGAGCCAAGATTGGAAGACGCTGCGGCAAGGTGTGTTCTTTGTTCTCCTCCAGCTTTACTGGCGTGGGCTACTTTCATGAGAATCATTTTGGAGACTGTGTTAAAAATGTCAGTTTATGGGCCCATGCCACATCTACTGAAGGGAATCCTCTGGAGGAGGAGCCCAAAGGATATGCGTATTTGACAAGCTTCCCAAATAATTTTGGTGTACACAAGTTTGGGAATCCTTGTTCTACACTGTGTGTGTGAGTGATTTCCAGATAGAATTTTCCATGAACTGGGTAGATTTCTCTAATCTAGCTATTTTCCAGCACTTCACAATCAGCCTACCAAAGCACACCTCAGCCCCATTCACCTAGCTGTGTTCTGGGGAGGGAGGAGAGATAAGCATGCAGAGAAAAGTCTGCTCTTCCTCCTGATTATTTTTATATTTATTTATTTTTGAGTTGGAGTCTCACTCCGTGCCCAGGCTGGGGTGCAGGAGCACGCTCACTGCTACTCCAACTCGACCTGCTGGGCTCAGGCGATCCTTCCACCTCAGCCTTCCAAGTAGCCAAAACTACAGGCGTGCGCTACCATGCCTGGCTAATTTTTTGATTTATTGTAGGGGTGAGGTCTCGCCAAGTTGCCCAAGCTGTTCTCGAACCAGTCCGCTCACCTCAGCCTCCCAGAGTGCTGGGATTACAGGCTTGAGCCACTGCACCCGGCGTGCTTTTATTTTTTAAGGGCAGCACCATTATCCAGTCACCTACTCTGGGCATCTGGTCATCTTCGACCTGTTCTTTTCTTTTCCAATCAGTCACGTGCGGTTAATTTTATTTTTGCATCCAGAATATCTCTTCTGGATATTTTGGTGGGCCAAAACAGTTCCAATATGGTGGATTTTATATTTTTCCAGTTAATATCTCTCATTTCTTCTCCATTCTCACTGTCTTGTCCCTGCCCTGGGGGCTGTTGGTTTTGGTGGTTCCCTGATTGGTATCCAGGGTTCTTTGATTCTTTGTGTTTTTTCAACATACACTGCTAGGAGATTAATTTTTCTAGGATCATTTATAAGTGTGTCATTCCCCTCCTTTGCTTTTGCTCAAGAACTGTCAGTTTCTTTGTTTTATGTGCTACTGTATTAGTCAGGGCTGCTTAGAAGGTAAGGAACAGCAACTTTACTCAGTGGAATGGAGATGAGGATATAGGATGGAATGAGAATCATCAAGTAGACATGATCCCAAGCAGCTTCATGTTCTGCATCTCTCAGGGGCCACATTTTTCTCTTAATTTAGGAGGAGTCTTTTTCTCTGTTCATATATGTTGTATTCTTTCTGCTGACTGACTGTCTCAAAACTGTGTCATCGTATGTGTGGCCTAAAATGACCATCTCAATCTCTGTTTTCTTATTCCCAGTTCTAGACAGAGGAATCTGATTGACCCAGCTTATCTTTTCGAGCAGTGTCATGTCACAGTTCCTATGCCTATCCCTGGTTATGGCCGATGGTGGAAAACATGGCTGTTGAGGGTAGCAGGGGCTATGGGTGGGCAAAGACTTTCAGAAGAGGCATCTTTAGTATGCCTATGAAGTTATTCAATTTGACAGTTATCTATTAAGTTTCTACTTGTTCTAGACCTGAAGTAGGTTCTGAGGATATAAGAACAAAAGAGAGACAGCCCTTAATAGAGTAGTTCAAAGGTGACCCCTAAACAGGATTTTAAAGAATATGTTTTGGTTCATTAAGAAAGTTAAAGCAACCGGGCTCGGTGGCTCAGCCTGTAATCCCGCACTTTGAAAGCCTGAGGTAAGTGGATTGCCTGAGCCTGCAGGTTCGAGACCCGCCTGGGCAACTTGGCGAGACCTCATCTCTACAATAAATCAAAAATTAGCTGGGCGTGGTAGCATGCACCTGTAGTTCCAGCTACTTGGAAGGCTGAGGTGGAAGGATCGCTGGAGCCCAGCAGGTCGAGGCAGCGGTGGCTGGGAGCGGCCACTGCACTCCAGTCTGGGTGGCAGAGTGAGACTCCAATTCAAAAAAAAAAAGTTAAAGCTAGGTCAGGCATTCTAGGTAGTTGGATCAGCATGGACATGCTTGTTCATTCTACAAATATTGGGTTCTCTATCTTACCACATGCTTTTTTAAGTGCTAGAGATTCAGCAGCAAACAGAATGGAGATGGCCCCCATTCTCACTGACCTACATTTGTTGGGGTGGGGAGCAGACAAAAAAAAGTTCATGGTATGTGGAGTGATGCTAACTGCTATGCAGAAGAACTTTAAAGTAGCGCTGTGGAGTGGGGGATTTAATAGAGGGGTTGAGGGCTGTTTATACAAAGTGGTTAGGGGAGATCACAGCAGATTACATTTGAACAGAAACTCAATGTGGCCTGAGCAGACTGATGGAGAAAGATTGACAGGAGGTGAGCTCAGGGAGCTGGGGAAGGGGAGAGTAGATCAAGCAGGTCCATGTAGGGAATTTGGGATTTTTATTTTGAGTGAAAGGACAAACTTGTTGGGAAGTTCTGAGCACAGAATGGGCATAAAGAGACATGATTTAGGAAGATCACTCTGGAATATGTATGGAGGTGGCAAGGACTGCCACCTTGCCTCAGGAGTGTCAGCATCAGGGTGGGCCCTGGGGACTGCATACAGGTCATTGTTTTTGGACACTTACGTGAGGGAAGAAGAGGGAGAGGCCACATTCAGGAACTTATTGTGTCATATTTGGAAGACACAAAATTAGTAGTGTTGGGAAACACTGTCACTATTGCTGCTTTCATGTAATATGTAATGGGAGAAAAGTTATAGGATGCATCTGTTAACCAACTGGCCTTTTAGTGAAAGCATTCTGAATATATCAAAAATATTGTGTTAGCTAGTAAATTTGTTTGCAGGTTCTGAAAATTAGCTCACTAAAACATAGATTTTGTTCTAGCATTTCTTTTGGCTACATCTGCCATTTTCAAAAATAATGTTGAGATGTTAATTTTTTTGCTAATTGTACAAAAGAATGTATAATCTTAAATTCCCATTGGACAAATGGCTGTGGACAATAGATTCAAATGATGTTTATTATTCAAGAAATATAGGGTATTCTATGGGCCAAGAATTGTGCTAGGTGTTGGGCATTTGGTATAGAACAAAAGAAAATAGTTCTTTCTCTTGTATCCTAGTGGAAGAGACCGCTATTAAGCAGGTAAATATGGAAAATAAGTGTCAAAAAGTGCTGTGAAGCAATAAAAAGGATCCCATAATAGAGAACAGTTCACGTTAGGGGAATCTATCAAGAAAGGGTGGTTAAGAAATGATCATATGCTACTATTGTATAAAATATTTGAAGTCAATTGTATATTGACTTCGTATGTGGTAGGCACAATTTTAATCCCTTTGGATGTAAATATGTAGTTATTTGAAGATGGGGAAACTTAGACACTGAGCCCAGGAAACTGGCCCAGGGTCCTGGGGGTGTTGAAGGCAGGCTGCTTAATGGGTACAAATTTACACAAATTTACAGCTAGAAATTAGCTGGTTGCAGTGGTCCACGCCTATAATCCCAGCACTTTGGGAGATGGAGACGAGAGGATTACCTGAACTTTGGCGTTCAAGACCAGCCTGAGCAACATGGCGAGACCGCATCTCTACAATAAAAAAAATCAGCTGGGCATGGTGGCACATCCCTGTTGTTCCTGCTTCTTGGAAGGCTGAGGCAGAAGGATCGCCTGAGCCCAGCAGGTTGAGGCTGTGGTAGTTGTGAGCGTGCCACTGCACTCCACCCTGGGCGACAGCGTGAGATTCCAACTCAAAAAAAGAAAGAAGGAATGAGTCCTAGTTTTCAACAGCACAGTAGAGTGACTGTAGTTAACAGTTTATTGTAAATTTTAAAATAGCTAGAAGATAATATTTGAAATATTTCCAGTACAAAGACGTGATAAATATTTGAGGTGATGGATATCCTAAATACTTTGATTTGATTGTTATACATTATATTCATGTGTCAAAATATCACATTTCTATAAAACCCACGGTGATATAATAGTGGTAAAGTCTGGAGCCAAACCGAGGCAAACTGGCTCTAGTCCATACATTTGACCACTACATTGAGCGCCCTTTAAGAAGAAGGCCTTTTTAAAGAGATAATATTGAAACTGAAATGTGAAGGATGAGAAGCTGTACAGCTTTTTTCTTGTGATGAAACATTCCTTTTTTTCCTAGTGGAAATTAACATAGGTTTATTATATCAAGTAAAACAATACAGCACAAATATGTATAAAAGTAAAGCTAACCACTTCCTCCTTTTAGTCCTACCTGCTAAGATAACCAGTTTTAGCAGCCAGGTGTATGTCCTTCCACACTTTTCTCTTGGATATATACACACTGAATATGGACATATGAGGAGAAAACCCCTTAAAACGGAATTTATTTATAAAAA